CAGAGCAGACCCGTTATGAGAAGAAGACGTCTGATTTGCGGGCGATGATATCTGAGCTGAAGAGTTCTCTTGCTGAGAAGGATTCTGAGCTGAAGAGTTCTCTTGCTAAGAAGGATTCTGAGCTTAACTCTTCTGCTGCTGACTTGGCAAGTCGAAAAGATGCTTACTTCCACCTTGAGCGCAAGAATGCCAACATCTCTCATAGCTATGACAAGCGTTTAGCTAGATTTCACTCCTATCATGAGTCTGCCGAGGAATCCAAGTCCGAAGTTGCCATGGACGCGTACAAGCTGGGCTACTTAGACTGCACAAATGGACATGACCCCTTCTATGCCATTGGAGATGAAGACGTCAAGACGTTCTATCCTGACTCGCCCCCTGTGCAAAGCAAGGAGGCTAATGCTGTGAACTCTGAAGGAGCTGAAGAGCATATGGCTGAAGAGGCGGTAGCTGAAGAGGATGGAGCAGAGGACGATGCAGCCGAGGTGGTGGCAGACGTCATAGATCAAGCATGCGGAGCTGCTGAGAGTGCGATTAACCAGGTGGAAGCTAAAAAAGCTGCAAATCAGGGATCTCCTATAGGCGTTTCGGAGTAGACGAAGACTCCTTTATTTCTTTTTAGCTTTTGTAGTATGCTTTTGTTTAGAATAATTGGTCTTGTTTGACCATCTTATTTTTGTTTGAACTTGGTCGGTTGGTCACTTTGCTATGAAAATTTCAGTCTATTTCTTCACTTCAACTTCCATATTGATTTGTGAATTGCTTGAGTAACCAGCCTGTGTCTTGATTGCACATCTCCCTTTGGAGATTCGTGAGTGCCAGGGTCCCCCTTGAAGGACTCCAGGCGTGTTTTGCAAATCCCTTAGGATGGCTTGGTCGTCGCCCTGCATCTCCCGAAGGACGATGCTTATGGGCAACTGTGTGACTATCCTGCCTCCCTTAGGAAACGGATAGGAACCTGGATACTTCCCGCAGAAGGCATGGAGACCTCCTTTTAAGAAATTCCTGGCACACCCTGTGTCTCCCTTAGGACGCTTTTTAAGGGCTGCGTCTCCCGAAGGACGCTTTGGTCGTCGCCCTGCGTCTCCCTTAGGACGCTACTTATGGGCAACTGTATGACTATCCTGCCTCCCTTAGGAAACGGATAGGAACCTGAATATTTCCCGCAGGAAGCATGGAGACCCCCTTTTAAGAAACTCCTAGCGCACCCTACGTCTCCCTTAGGATGCTTTTTTAGTGGGCTACGTCTCCAAACGGACACTTTTAGTCGTCGCCCTGCGTCTCCCTTAGGGCCTTCCTTATGGGCGACTGTATGACTATCCTGCCCCCCTTAGGGAATGGATAGGAACCTGGATACCTCCCTTAGGAAATTCCTAGCGCACCCTGCGTCTCCCTTAGGACTCTTTTTATGGGCTGCGTCTCCCGGAGGATGCTTCTGATCGTTGCCCTGCATCCCGAAGGACGCTGCTTATGGGCAACAGCTGTGTTTTGTGGGTAGATGAGACATTTTGAAATGAGAAACTGAACTTATATTGATATTCATAAGATTACAGTCCTTTCTTCGAAAATGGAAAAAACTGAGTACAAAAACTTGGAACTTCTTGCAGTCGATAGGAAGTATTATGGATAATACTTTCGAAGATAGTGAGCATTCCATTTTCGTGGTATTTCCTTCCCATCCATGGTGTCCAGTGTGTAGCTCCCTCTACCCCCGGACCGGTTGATCACATAGGGGCCCTCCCAGTTGGGATTCATCTTTTTTGACCCTTGTCTTTTGTCGTAGTAAGACTTCAACTGCTGCTAATAGGAGGCGACCCGGATAATGGTTTTCTCGCGTTAGCCCTCAAGTAAGTCAAGGTTGAGCCTCATTTGCTCAGAGTTCTGATCAACACTGCCCACCTCAAGGCTTATGGAGGGGACTGTGATGTGAGAAGGGATGATTGCTTCCGTCCCATAGGCGAGGGAGAATAGGGTTTCGCCAGTCGACCTTCGTTTGGTGGTGCAATAAGCCCATAGTACTCCGAGGATTTTGTCCACCCATTTCCTTTCGGCGCCTTCTAGCCTTTTCTTCAAGCAGTCTAATATGACTTTGTTGGATGCCTCTGCCTGCCCATTTTCTTATGGATACCTCAGAGTGGACACGTGTTGCTTGATCTTGTATTTCGCAAAGAAGGCGGTGATCTGTTTGCCAATAAACTGTGAGCCATTGTCAGTGACCAGCGATTGTGGGCAGCCAAGTCGGCATATAATATTTCTCTAGATGAATCGCTCCACATCGGCTTCTTTAGTAAAGTATAGAGCTTCGGCCTCAATCCATTTAGTAAAGTAGTCGGTGGCGACGATCATCATTTCTTTCTTGGTGGGCGCCGGTGGCAAGGGACCTACTAAGTCGATGGCCCATTGCATGAATGGCCATGGACTGTTTTACGGATTGTAAACTTCCGCAGACAGATTAGGGATCGGCTTGTATCGTTGGCAACGATCACACTTTTTGACATATTTAGCCGAGTCGTGGCGCATGGTAGACCAGAAGTAGCTTATGTTTAGAGCCTTTTGGGCGAGTGATCTGCCCCCAAAGTGGTTGCCACCCTCGCCGTCGTGAATTTTGCAGAGGACCTCAATTGTTTGAGGGTATTTTATGCAAGTGAGATGAGGGCCGGAGTATGATCTGCGAATGAGCTTGTCGTCGTGCATGTAATATCTTGCAGCTTTCTGTTGGACATTCCTAGCTTCGGACTTATCCGTTGGCAGATTTCCATTCACTAAGTAGTCGATGATAGGATCTTGCCAGCTGGGGTCCTCATCAATCTGCATTGAGTCTATTGGCTCTATTTCTTCGATGCTTGGCTAGTCAAGGTGTTCAACTGGGATGGAGCGTTTGAACTAGGTGTCCAGTGCTGATCCTAGGCTCGCCAACGCATCTGCATGAGTGTTCTCTACCCGTGGAACTTGTTGGATGGTGAAAGTAGGGAATTCTTTCAATAGGCCTTGGACTTTGTCGAGGTACTGGATCATCCTTGGATGCTTTGCCATGTACTCGCTTGAGGCTTGATTCGTGATCAGATGGGAGTCTGAATAAATGGCCAATCTCTTGATTGACAGTTCTTTCGCTAGGCGCAGTCCTACAAGCAATGCCTCATATTCTGCCTCGTTGTTTGAAGCAGAAAAGCCTAGTGTGATAGCTTGTTCCAACAAGGTTCCGTCCGGGGTGATTATGACGACTTCTGCTCCTGCTCCTTTGTGATTTGATGCTCTGTCTACATGTAACTGCCACATGTCGTTAGGTAGGTTCGAATCGGTGGGGGAGGTGTTGTCTGCTTTTTCCTTGCTTTTCGTGACCATCTTCTCTCCTTCGACTGTGGGAGTAAACTCTACAACAAAATCTGCTAAAGCTTGGGCTTTTATAGCAATCTTCGGCCGGTAGAGGAGGTCGTATTGACTGAGTTCGATAGCCCATTTCATGAGTCGCTGTGAAGGATCGATCTCAAAGGAAATTCTGTTATGACAATAATATGGTGTGCTTGATAGTAGGGCCTTAGTTTTCTCGCAGAAACCACAAGCGAAAAAATGAGCTTCTCCATTTTCGGATAGCGAGTCTCTGCATCGAGGAGAGCTTTTGAAGTGTAGAATACCCGATGTTGTGCCCCCAGCTCTTCTCAGATGAGAGCTGAGCTGACAGCTGAGTTGGACATCGCCAGGTAGATGTACAAGACTTCGCCTGGTATTGGTTTTAAGAGTAATGGAGGTGAGGTGAGGTAAGTTTTCAAGTTTTGAAAAGCTACTTCACACTCGTCATCCCACTTGTCTTTGTGTCCCTTCTTCAAGGCTTTGAAAAATTGTCTGCATTTGTCGATAGATCTTGAAAGGAATCGGTTGAGAGCTGCCGCCCTACCCGTTAGACTTTGTATCTCCTTTATTGTAGCCGGTGACTTTATGTTGAGTATAGCCTTAATTTGATTTGGATGTGCCTCAATTCCTCTTTGGGTGACTAAGTATCCAAAGAATCGGCCGGACGAGACTCCAAATGTGCACTTGTTCGGGTTCAACTTCATGTTGTATTTTTGGAGTAGGCTAAATGTCTCGGCAAGGTTCTCGATGTGGTCTGCTCGCTTGGGAGCTTTGACTAGCATGTCATCTACGTAGACCTCCATAGTATTGCCGATTTGCTCCTTGAACATTTTGTTCACCAGCCTTTGGTAGGTTGCTCCGGCGTTCTTCAACCCAAAGGGCATGACTTTGTAGCAATATGTACCTTTTTCAATGATGAAGGAGGTGTTTGCCTTGTCATCTTCATGCATCATGATTTAGTTGTAGCCGGAGTAAGCGTCCATGAAGCTTAGCAGTTGATTGCCGGGAGTTGAATCGACGAGCTGATCAATTCTTGGCAGTGGAAAGTTGTCTTTAGGGCATGCGTTGTTAAGCTACGTTGACGTGTAGGCAATGGCAAATGATCTGGGGATCGATGCCAGGCATGTCGGATGGTGACCATGCAAATACATCTTTGTTGTTCTGGAGGAAGGCTGCCTTTTCCTCCTAGCTTAGGCGCGAGCCGATCCGCGCTGTTCTCTCTGGCTTATCAGGATCAAGGGGTACTAGCTCAATGTCCTCCTCGGGCTTCCATCCTTCTTCCGGATGGATTCCCTCGACTTGGTCATGATTCTTTGATTGCTATTGGGGAGTAGTTATTCCCTTTCCTTTTTGGTCTGCTCGGCTGTCAGGAATGGGATATGCTTTCTCCTCTGCTTGTTCTACTCCCTTTAGATCTGCCTGATTCATAGGGAGGAACAGTGTTTGCTTGCCTTTCTTCAGCCCTTGAGCTGAGCATTTCCTCGCCATTGTCTGATCACTGTTGATTTGACCGATACCGCCCCCAGGGATTGGGTAGCGAATCTTCTGATGTGTAGCGGAGGTGACGACAGTGATTTTGTTGATCCATGGTCTGCCCAGAATGCCATTGTAGGGTGAAGCTTCATCTATGACCATGAACGTTTGTGAGTTGATTATTGGTGAGAAGTAAACGTTGTTGCCCCATTGAAGCCAGTCAGCGACTTGGCTAATTTATTGATCTTTGTCTCTAAGCCCATCTGTTGGATGACCGCCAATTGTAGGATGTTAGCTGCACTGCCCTCGTCTGCATGGATTCGGTCAACCATGGCCTGAGCAATTTGAATGCTGATGACAAGGGCGTCGTTATGTGGCACATCGAGGCCTATCAGATCTTTCTTTTGGAAGCCGATTACAGGATCGTCTTCTGCTAGCTGAAGGTCGGTCGAGACTTGGGAGATCATAGTGGCCTGTCTGATCTTTCTCTTCTTTTCCTTGCTGGTCAGCCCAGATTCTTCGGAGTCGGCTAGGATTGTGTTAATCTTTATGACCTTTTGGGGCGGCTCCTTGGCGGTGTCATGATCTTCAATCCGTTGGATGGCCTGCTTCGCAATGAATTCCGTGCAGTGACCTTCTCTCACGAGTTCTTCAAGGTGTTCTTTCCAAGCGAAGTAGTTGTTCGTAATGTGTCCATGCGTCCCATGGAAGGCACAATATTTACTAGTATCCCTCTTGTCCGGATCTCCTTTCAAGGGTGGCGGTCTTCTTACCCAAGGTTTGTTTTTCACTTGGGCTAGGATTTGATGTATAGGGATGGTGAACTTGGTGTAGTTCTCTCCTACCTTACCGTCCCCTTGTGGGTGTGACCTGCACTTGTCCTTATTCTTGTTGCTAAATCCATCGCTTCTTTAGCCTGCCTGTTTAGTCGACTGATCTTCCTGCTTTGTAAACTTCTTTGCGGCGATTCGATCGTCATCCAAGAGCGCGTAGTATTCTGTGGTCGCGTAGACCTCTGCCATAGTCTGGCTGGGAGTGATAGTCAGCTTGCGGTACAAGTCGTGTTCAGCTGGAAGACCTTTCTTGAAGGCAGATGACGCGATCCGGTCGTCACATCCTACAATGTTGGCCTTTTTTGCTTTGAATCTCTTGATGTAATCTTGAAGAGATTCGTCGGACTTCTTGCATAGGTTGTACAGGTGGTCAGAGTTCTTCTTGATCGTCCGGTAAGAGGTGTACTCTTTGGTGAAGACGTAAGCCAACTCCTTGAAACTGCTGATTAACCCAGATGGTAGGGTGTGGAACAAGTCTTGAGCTGCTCCTCACAAGGTCATTGCAAACACCTTGCACATCAGTGCATCGTCGGCCTTGTGAAGTATCATGACACTTTTGAAGTGTTTTAAGTGGCTCTCGGGATCGGAATCCCCTTTGAAATATATAAACGAAGGTGTTGAGAATCGCTTTGGGGGAGCAGCCTACTCAATTTCAGGGGTGAAATGAGTAGAGATCGCCTGGTCCATCTCCTTACGTAGTGCATCCTCGAGGTTCCCGACAGTCTTCAAGTCTTGAAGTCGGTCATTCATAAGCTTCTCAACGTCTTCCGCACACATTGCTGGTTGATCACGTTGACCTCTCGTCTGCACTGCCTATGAGGCGTGTTGGTGAACTACGCTTGCAAATCTGTAGCTTAGCGACAAGAATTGGTTCTCCGAGAGCGGGCAATGGAGTGCCTTCCTTCATGGTCCTCATTGTGAGGGTTATCGGGTTGACCTCCTTAGGGGCCTGCCCTTTCGTGAATATTTCTCTGTGAGCGGGTAGCGGAGTGCCTCATTGCGGTGATTGTCAGTTTGACCTCCCTGGGAGCCTAGCCTTTCATGAACATTTCCCTGCGGGCCCAGGCGAGCATGGACGTCAAGTCGTGGGCCGAGCCTTTCTCACACGTTGCTCTGAGTGTGGCTTGCGAATGCTTGTGACATGTTGGCAAGCTGATCACATTGTTGTCCATCTCCTTGTCTGCTTACTCTTGCTCGACCTGCTTGGTTCCCATCGAACTGCCTATCGGCGCGTTCGTCCATCCTTCTCTCTTCACCTTGCTGTCCAAGGCCAAGGTTTTGAGCCAAGTTTATTTGGTTGAGGAGTTGCCTCATCAAATTATTTTGGTCGTCCATTCTCTGAGTTAGCTGGTCAAATTGTGTGGAGCCTAATTGCACACGGGCTAGGGTTTCATTGGAGGTGTATGCAGGAGCGTGCGTCAAGCGCGGAGGCAATAGAGTGAATGCTTGAAGTTGCTCCAAGACCGGGCCTAAGTCAGTGGTGGTAACGAGCCCACCTTGATGGGAGGTTCCACCATGCTCGGTGGCAGTGCCATAGAGGTTGCTAGATCCGGTCGCGGGTCCAGTAGGTGGCATGGTGGTGTGAGGTGGCGGTGCCACCATGTCGATCGCCGGATCATGGGTGGAGTGGCCTTGGGTCATCACGGATTGAGCCATCGCGGCGGTTTTGCTCCTAAGGCGTTTGCTTCCAACCATGGTTGTTTGGAAAGCTTCGGTGGATTGGAAAATAGGATAAACGGATTCCTTGAGCACGCGTTGAGTATAACTTGTGCTCTCAATGAAAGCACCAAATGTTTGTGCAAATAATCTCGTGGGAGAATATTCGTCTTGTGATTCTTCAACCTTCAATCTTCCTTCTCTCTCTTCCTCAATTCCTATAAAAAAGATTGGAGTAGATATACCACACACAGGGAGTGTTGGCCAAAGGCCCTCTTAGTTCGAGTGTTTATAAGAAAACAATAGCTAAGTAAAGGGTACGGAGTTGTATGTATGGTGTGAACCGGGCGGCCGGAGCCGTGGGGAGAAAATATGGAGAGTGAAGAGGGAGAGAGAGCTTCGGGTATTTTTCTCGGGTTTAGAAGTAGGTTTAGATGTACCTTGAATGATGAATGAAGTCATCTATTTATAGAAGCCTCGGGGCTAGGGTTTCGTAGAGAATATGCTGAGTTTATTCTCTACCAAAATTCGTAGGAATCGAGTCGGACTTAGATAATATCTGATTTAATGATATTATCTTCTTTTTATTGAAGATAATATCTGAATTAAACGATATTATCTCTTTTTATGAAGATAATATCTGAATTAATGATATTATCTTCTCTTTATTAGGATAATATCTAAATTAATGGTATTATTTTATTAAATAAAGATAATATTCCCTTAATTAAGATATTTATCCCAATTAATTAATTGACTAGATAAACTGATTCAATTAATTAATTTAAGAGATAATCTTTTTTTCCACGTGGCATGCCCTGATTGGAGACGAAAATATATGCTCCCACATCTAGTATATCTATATCTTTTCTCTGGTTTTGAAGGGATAGGTTAATTTGATGAGGAAGAAGGGAGTGCTGGAGTATATCTATATCTCTTCTCTGGTTTTGATGGGGATAGGTAAATTTGATGGAGGAAGAAGGGTGTGCTAGAGACGAAAAAAAGTCTAGCTTTTTGTTTTTCATTTTTTTATTTCACTTTTTAAAAAATAATAATTATTAATAAATAAATAAATAAAATAATATCCACATAATAATATTCATTAATTGACATGGCATGATCACGTCAGCTAATGTGATTAATTAATGGGAGTTTCACTAAAACACCCAAAATGGAGGTTGAAATTATAAAAAAACCCAACACCCAAAATACTTTATAAACACACCCAAAAAGTTAACTTTGGGGTTGATTTTGGGTGTGTTTCTATGTTTAAATAGTGCTTGGATTTTTTTATAAATACATGTCTAGGATTAGGTTTATTTATAAATTTGTATTAATTTTATATATCTAAATAGCATTATTATTTAATAAATAATTTAATAATAAAGTATACTCAATTAATTTTAAGATCCCTTTAGCAGCACTCTTTACGTTGTGGCAATAGACAATAAAACTCCTCAAATGCACTCCATCTGGCGGAGTCTCTGTTTCTTCCGCCTTTTTGTACTTTCTCCCAGTCGAGTTGTATCTCCCTCCCTCGCACAGACAGATAGAGAGAGGAGAAACCACAATCCTCTCTCTCTCTCTCTTTCACTACGCAATCCCCAATTCACACAACAGTCAACCCCAAAGCCAAGTCAAAGTTATGGACTTCCACCGAAACCACCACAGCACCACCTCCCCCACATCATCTGCCTCCTCCACCACTACCACCACCATCCCCATTCCCAACCCTAACCCTAACCCTAATCCCTCCTCCAACTGCATCTCTACCGACGACCCAATGCACTCCTGGTGGGAGTCCATCTCCAAGGCCCGCTCTCGCATTCACTCCTTGTCCTCTCTCCTCCCCCCTTCTCTCTCTTCCTGTCTCTCCTCCCTCGCCGACTCCGACCGCCCGGCCCTCTCCCTTCTGTCCTCCCTTGAGTCCTACGACGCCGTTTTTTCCGCTCTATCCTCCCCTCTCTCCGGTTCAGGATCCGACCCCCTCTGCCACTGGCTCTACGACACCTTCCTCTCCTCTGACCCCCATCTACGACTCGTCGTTTTCTCTTTCCTCCCTGTCATCTCTGGCCTCTACCTCTCCCGGGTCCATTCGCTCTCCTCTGACTCTCCCTCTCTTCCTTCCCTCGCCGGCTTCGAAGCTGTTCTCCTGGCCCTCTACGCCGCCGAGACCAAGGCTCGAAACGGCAAGCCTGTTGTCGTTTCGATCCCAGATCTCTCTCAGCCCTCTCTCTACCACACCCCTCGAGATCACAAGCCCAACCCCCTGGCTGCCCCTATTTCCCCCCACCAGTCAATTGGGGTTTTGTCGCCGCCTCTGGAGCCCCAGATCGCCGTCAAGTCCACCAAACGTGCCTGCATTGTCGGCGTTGCCCTCGATTCCTATTACAAGCACATTTCCCAGATGCCCACTTGGTCCAAGATTGACTTTTGTCGATTCCTAGCTTCTTGGGCCGGCCAGGATTGCCATTGTCTGCACCAAGTCGGTGACGATGATAACAGTGAGCCCGACATTACTCCGGCATTGTTCTTGGAGGGCGGCAATGAGATTGACGATGTGACTGAAGAAATGGATCAGTTAATGAGATTTGAGAAGAAAAATATTTGCAATGGTGTAGTTTTGGAGTCAAAGGGGTCAATTATTCCATTACCTTGGGAGCTTTTGCAGCCAGCGTTGCGAATAGTGGGGCATTGTCTGATGGCCCCATTGAATTCTCATGACATTAAGGACGCGGCTTCTGTTGCAGTGAAGCGATTGTATGCTCGGGCATCTCATGATTTGGTGCCACAGGCGATTTTAGCTACTCAGAGCCTAATTCAGCTAGATAAGAGGGCACGGGAGTCTGCCAAGGCTACTGCGGCTGCTAATTCGTCTTCAAACGCTAACACCCCAAGCAAAGCTAAGAACCCCGAAGTACTTTTGGTCTCAAAATGAGTAAGTGGTTGGTTGGTTTGTATTCTATTTGGTTTTGCAGATTGCAGGTACTGGATGTTGTATAGCTATATATTCGACAGTTAGCAGTTGCTATAGGTTACTGTTTTATGCATGTCAATCGGTTTTTGTTTGTAGATCCTAGTGTCATGTAACTTCTAATTAAAGGTTTGCTTGTGGCTAGTTTAATTTATGAACTATGCCCTTGTGTATTTTCTTCCAAGTGTTTCTTGAGTAATTATTGTTTTTCATTCATCTTGTACTCACAAAACATGATGAATGAAAGTTACAGATTATTGGTAATTTATACTGTTTGCCATTTACTTGTGTGTTGTGTTTGCATTCTGGTTCTGTCTTGTCATTGCAATGCATTCTGCACATTTTCTGAATGAATGTAGCTTTGTACAATTGATGATCATTTGCTTGTAATTGAGCTTTATATCATATGATTCTGTTATGCTCTATTTACTTTGTTATTTGTTGTTCACTTCACTGATCCCGTACTTTTGTGCCTTCTGATCTTTGTTTGAAATTTCAGTAATTGTATATATAGTATGCGTTTTATAGTATTAGTTCATATTGGTTTGTCTGTGTAATCATTGGGAATCCATGAACAAGTGGTGTCTAGATATGTTTGTCCCTAGTATTTGTTCATTTTACCACTCAGTTTGATAGTTGGGCATTGCTCCTGTGACTCCAAAGTCCTTTTAGCTCTTTATCAATTTCATTTTATGATTATGCCCAAGAGTAAAATTTCTCTGTTTTTCTGATTAGCCATTGTTTTGTTTCCTACTTGAAGCATTTTTGGCCACATTTTGCTGATCTAAATAAGTTCTGTTTTGTTCACCTTCAACTTTGTTTTGGACTCAGAAAATTATCCTACTTCTTTTTGTCTGCCAATATATTGGGGTAAGTATCTGTAGGTGATGTAGGGTTTAGTAAATGCAATTCCCTATTTTTGGGATGGAGGGTCCAGTGAAGTAGATTGTTAGGAGTGCTGAGAGTTAGTTGGATAGATGCATATTTTTACAATAATGCTTTTGATTCAGGTGAAATATGGTGTCCTTATCTGAGGAAAAGGGTGGTTTGGGTTTGGCAATTTAATTAAAAGAAATGAGGTACCACTTGGGAAATGATTGTGGAAATTGCGCTTGACAAGGATTCTTCTCTGTCCTCGCAAGAAAATATTAGACGTTGATGGTTTTGTCAGAGGCCTGGGATATTGCCAATGGAAAGACAGTTCTATCCATCCTTTCATTCTCGTCTTGCCAGCGTTTTTTGGTGTGAAATGGGGAAAAGGTCGATCTTTCGGGAGTGATTTGGGAAACGCCTTTTTGTATTTCTTTCCCTCACTTATGTAACTTTCGGCCTATACCTATGGCTAGAATGTTTGTAAGTTATTTTCCTCCAGTAAGTTGGGATTTTGGTTTCTGTAGAAATCTAGGGAATTCTCTTGCCATTCCTCTGTTGCAGAGTTATGATATAAGTTCTTGCTTGGATTAGGTTCAACACCTATTATATGGTTTAGGGGAGAAGCCTTCGGTTCAACTTTCTCCCTGATGGGGTACTGTGAGTAGAAAAAGCGTTTAGAGAGCTGATCATTTTTTTCTTCATTGCCCTACTGCATTAAGTTTTATTGTGGTCATTGTTTAGGTAACAAGACCCTTACCATAAAAAAGTAGATATTGTTTAGGTAAGCTGATTTGCTTTAGCTGATTCCCAGCACATTCGTAGCGCTGAGAGAGCTGATCATTTTTTCCTTCATTGCCCTACTACATTAAATTTTATGGTGGTCATTGTTTAGGTAATAAGACCCTTACCAGAAACAAATAGATATTGTTTAGGTAAGCTGATTTGCATTAGCTGATTCCAGCACGTGCACCTCGGTTTTTTATGAGCAGAAGGTATTTGTGGTGGGTGGGAATCTGCTGGCTTTCTTTTCGGTAGTGGATTGAAAATAAAATAAGAAGGATCTCAAAACCTGTTTACGGGTTTGGGTTCTTCCTAGTTTCCATTACCATGTTTTTCTATTTCTGCAGTGATGTAGGATGTGGGGGAATTGAGTATTTAGGTAGTTTAGCAGAAGCAAAAACAATGGAAAACAGAAAATAGAACGAACAAGGATAGGTCTGGAATCACTCCAGGGGTTTGGCTTCACCCCAAGGAGTCCAATCTCTGGAAAATAAAATTTTCTTAATATCTCAACAACTGAATTTTAAAGAACTACATGGGGGTATTTATTGCAAACTAAAACCTAGAGACAATAGGATAAAAATCCCTTACTGAAACAGGAATCCTAATCCACTGAGGAACTAATTCAAATAAACTAGGAAACTTAAATAAAATCCTACTAAAATCTAGAGAATCTAGGAAACTAACTAATGATGTCCGCATCATGCGGGTTGTAAGGCTGTTGTTGTTTAGCCTGCAGATCTTGATTACTTTTTTTTTGGTAAGGGTAGTTGGCCATTAGTTCTGGTGTGTTTCTTTTGGTGGAAAATTTACTGTCCGTTTGTACCGAGTATGAGATTTCATTACACATCATGTTTTCTTGACAGAAATAAATAATGATAGACTGGTGGTCTGTCTACCTTTATGATTAATTCCCTGGCATTATTTCTGTCACATATTACTGGTATTCTGAAAGCTATATACTTGTGACAGCCTTTTTTGGTTTTTTGGTTTTTTTTTTGTTTCCTTTTCCTGGTGTAATTTTTGTATGAAGTTATCCTTGTTTCGTTTTGTCCTTTCATTTCTTTTGTGTTTTTGTTGGTGGAGGCTCTCTCTGTTGCATACTTCTTCACTTTGTGCCCAAGTAAGAAATGCTCTAAGGACTGCCAAATTTAGAGCTCTTCTATTTCCGTGCCCATCATTTGTAGTAAAGTTTATTTGCTTGGAGAGAAATTCTATAGGTACACTCTGAATAAAGTTTAGTTAATAAGTTGGAACCAAATAGTCTTGCATTTCTAGAAAATACCTGGTTTTACCTGGCTGCGAGACTCAAGTAGCGGTGAACTTTTTCTATTTGACTGTAACACCACCATGCGGTGCGATTGTAGAACTAGTGCTTGGTTAAGGAAAGGGAAATCTATAGATTTATGCCGCTATATTGGCTAATTAATTAACGAATGAAGCAGTCACTTGAAGTGACATAAGAAACCAAATATAAGATTTAGAAGGGAAACAATATCAGATGGTTACCAGTTCGTAAATATACGACCTAATAACTACTACTAATATTCAAAGCAGCCACAACCGTAGTCCATCCTCTATATATCTAATGTGATCTCTATCTCCGCCAATGGGGTCTAGTACAGTGGAAAAGGGTTTGGACTAGCAGACCATTGGCCTCAGGTTCAAACTCCCATTGCACCTTGCTAGTGTGTGTGAGATACCCCCCTCTCCCTTGTACTTAATCACCTGTTTAATTGAACTTTTATTCTAAAATTCTTGTTCATCGCAGACTTGAATTGCGAGTGATTGTTATTTGATATGGAATGTGTGTGTTCGACATCGCAGCATATCTCTTTTAAGTATTTCGCGATTAAGAGCTGTGAATTGAATTGCAAAGCTTGGACATAGTCTGTGATTGCTTTACATGAATTTCCTGTTCTTGGTTGCTTACTTGATTTCTAAATATTTTATTTTATGCCTTAACTAGGATGACTAAAGTATCTAGGAATAACTGGCTATGTGACATGTACTTGAGAGAACTTGACAACATATGTGCGATAACTCAAACATTTGTCTGGAAATCTTCCTCATTCATATGGTAATCTATAAATTAACAATTAGAAACTAAGGTTAGGAATGGTAGTGGTGGATTCTTAGTTTTCGTGTTTCGTCATATTGGTTTCTTTATAATATATATTTTTTTAAAAATAGACTTGGTTGATTATTTGTTTACAATTTTAGTTGATTCATTCTATAATATTCAAATCAGTTAGGGCTCTTTTGGTTCACAAATTGAACTTCCAGGGAATGAAGTTCCCGTGTCTAATCCCACGAGATGAGAATAGAAGATGTTTGTTCTCATGTTTGGGAATGCTGGGAAATGAGGACTAGGAAGGTCCATCATCTCCCATTCCGTGTTTGGTTTGTGTATTAGGAATGAAAAAAATTTAGTTTTCCAACAATTCCTTTGATTTTTTATTATTAAAAGTTATTATTATGAAGAGTTTTTTATAGGCTCAATATTCAAAAGGGTTAATTGTTTTATTAATTCTTGAACTTAGAACCGATTTGCATTTGAGTCCCTTAATTTTCAAAATTGTTCCCGTGGTCTTTCAACTTAAGTTTCATTAGGACAAATAGTCCTACCGTCAATTTTGTTAACATTTCTATTAAATGTAAAGGTAAAATGGTATTTAGATTTATTAAAATCAGTTTGAATTTTTTTTATATTTATTTTAAATTTATTAAAATATAAATAAAATTTAAAGACAAAAATAGAAAAAATATTCAACTCTCTCTCTCTCTCTCTCTCTCGCTCTCACACACACACACACACACATTGATCTAAGACAAATCTTGCTTGAGAGGACAGTTGACTTAAGATTAATAAGGTGTTCTATGAGTCCTCAGAAAGCAGAACTCCAACTAGGCCACGAACTCGCTCTCCTCTCTTTACTTCTCCAAGTCTGTCATTAAGTTGATGCTCCTCGGTAACACAAAGATTATATATCAACCCCTCTGTGTTGCCCTTTTCCATCCATCTAATCATCCAGCTACAGATTTGAATGCAAAGAGTAAGGCGCAGAGGTAGAAAAAACGCACTTTATGGGGGCTTTCTCAATTAACCGAAGCTATCCTTGTCTTACATGTATTCCGCTATCCTTGTCTTACATGTATTCCGGTTCCATGTGTGTGTGTGTAGACAAGGTATTCCGCTATCCTTGTCTTACATGTATTCCGGTTCCACGTGTGTGTGTCTCTCTCTCTCTCTCTGTGCGACCCAAGACCCATATGTGCCTCCACCAACCATATCCACTGTGTGTGTGTGTCTCTCTCTCTCTCTCTCTCTCTCTCTCTCTGCGACTCAAGACCCATTTGTGCCTCCCCCAACCATATCCACCCTTGCTAGCTCTTTGCACCCACCAACCCTGCAACCCGTTGGTGCAATTTTCATGGGTCTGTGCAAGAGAAAGGGGTTTGGGGAAAGGGCTTTAGGTTTCAAACAACCCAGATTTTAAGTGGGGTGTGGAGGTTGGTCGGAGATTAAGAGAGAAGGTGGTGATGATCGAGCTTGGGGTTGCGATGTTGGTAGGGTTCGAATCTAGCGGAGAATGGGGTTGTCACTGGCTGGTGGGATTTCAATCG